TCACCGTTGAATTCCTCGTTGAAAATTACTTCAGAAATAACCTTGACCTTTTTCAAAAATACCTTACATTAGAAAATATTCAGCCGTCCCGGGACTTAATTGACACCCTGTGTAATAATATAATACATAAATGTTGGGTTTTATTATAATTTTTATTACTTCTTCCTTCTATTGTTATTATTATTACTATTGTTATTATTATTACGACTTCCTAAATAAAATAAAAATAACGGATAACTTATCATTTGTAAAATTTTCCATGTTTAAGAATTACAAGTGTTTTGTGAACAAGTGTCTAATAACCAGAAAACGATATATTTTCTTATATGAAATTTTTATAAAAAGCAATTGCCTATAATATTTATTTTTTTTTAATAAAGGACAAATGGAAAAACATAATAATAAAGATGAATATTTGCAGTCGCGGATTTAAGAAAAAAGGTCCAGTCCGCAAACGTTACAAGGAGCCCACTTTTATGTAGGTAGGACCCGTTTTTAATACTTGTTAACGTGTTCGCGTATTTTAACAAATCTCGATTACGTTGGATCTGATGACTAATGATTAAATTTGCTCCTAAAATTTTTGTCTTTTCCATTTGTAGCTTTTAAAATGTGTCGCCTACTCCAAATGAAACCAATCTCAATCAGCCTGAAAATGAAACGTAACAAGTTGATACTTCTCATTGCGTTTATGTTCTTTGATAGAATTAGAAGTACCGTAGTCTATTTCACGATTTTACGCGTTACACGTCGCCCCGGGTTACATTAAATGTTAATAAATAATTTTTTTATGGGGGCCCCTTTCGACCGTTAAATCCGCCACTGAATATTTGAATCATGAAATTAGCGATATTTATTTAGAAGCAGTGCTAAAATCAACTGCACTCGTATTACATTCAGTAAATATAAATTCTCTTGTCAGAAAATTTTTAGGCACGATTCGATTTCTATAATTTCTTGCTTAATATTTAGCTTTTTCTCAATTGTTATAGACAATTCAACGTATACTATGAGAAAAAGCAAATCATATGCTATGGATTTATTTTTATGTCTATTTTTTTAATACTTTCTTATATGGTTATCAATTTTATAACTAATATTTTTTTATTAACAAATGTATTAATTGAGCCGCTCGGAGGCCAAAATGGCTAACTCCACTTTGTGTAATCTTTTCAATTTTAGTACCAAAGCATGTGATTGGTGCCTAACTTTTTATAAATAAAATAAATTATAATTCTATTTATTATCTCAACATAGCCAAAATTTTTCCTAATGAATAATATATAATTTACTTCAGAATCCATTGTGATTAACTCCATTTGATAGTAATTTCTTTATTTTCAATAAATTTGGTAATTCTTAAAATAGCAAAGAACAATAATATTTATAAACAAAATAATTAATCAGATAGTGATTCTTCAATAATAACAGAGAATCACGAAAAAAAATTTTTGGAAATAAACTCAAACCAGAGTAGATGTTTCTTATAGATTTTGGATTACTGAATCCGAATTCGTAAGCCGTTTTGCTTCATCACGTCCAGTTTTTTAGATAATCGAGAAAAATTATGAAAAATCTGTAAAAATTGAAAGAAACATTTGAGGAAAAAGCAAAAGTAAATATGACATTAAAATGCGGTCGCAGAACTGATTTAAATATCATATCAATATATATGAAGAGGCTTATCGAGCACGCTGGTTGTTAGTGCGAAATTTTTAATGTTTCGTATAGAAACTTGATTTGTCTGCATTAAGACATTAAAATGTACACTGATCTCAGATTCGAGATACTGAAGTGTACGAAAAATGCATACATCGATCTCATTATTCGAGAATCAGAATGTATGAATTAAAGTAAGGAAGTTATTTGAAAGGAAGGAAGACGAGAGAAAAAATATTAGGGCGCAAGTGGCTGATTTAAATATATTTTGGTAAATTAAATAAAATGCAAGAAATAAAAAAAATTTTGCTTTACTAATGTTAGGTATTATAACCCATGTCGTAAAACAAATCGATTTTAGAGTTTTTTGAAATTTATACTGATCTATTTCGTGCTCAACTCTATGTCTAACTTACCTAACTTATCTTCCAAAAGTAACAATTAAAATCCATTTCTGAAAAGACCTAGTATAACTCACGTAGATCGCCTGACTGTTTGTTGCACAATGGTAATAATTTACGTCGATTTGTCTTACGACGTGTTAGGCTATAATACCTAACATTAGTAAAGGAAATTTTTTTTTATTTTTTGCACTTTATTTAACTTACCAAAATTAATTTAAAGCAGTTCTGCAACCGTATTTTAATGTCATATTTATTTTTGCTCTTTCCTCAAATGTTTCTTTCAATTTTAACAGATTTTTCATCATTTTTCTTGATTATCTAAAAAGCTGAACGTCATGAAGCAAAACGACTTACGAATTTGGATTTAGTGATCCAAAAGCTATAAGAAACACTTACTCTAGTTTGAGTTTATTTTCAAAAATTTTTTTTGTGGTTCTGTGTAATTGTCAGAAGTATATCGAAAAAAATAAAAACATTAAAACTGTTTTAAGTTTATTAAAATTAGTTCAAACTACAGAAATAAAAATTAAATTATTTAAAATGAAGTTTTTAGTAAGTAAACATAGTCAGTTGCCTAATGATTCAGATTTTTCCGTTATCAAGTCACATGCAAAAAAGATTCAAAACATTTTTTCTCTCAACGATTGGTATGAAATAATCAAAACTTGTAAGAAGAAAGCACCGTTTCATGTGGTTGAAATAACTTATCAAGATTTATCTCAACAAAACGATTAGAGGATGTAACTAATAGAAAAAAAAACAATTACGGGATTATTTAGTAAATTGGCTCAAAATGCAATGGATTAAGTTAGAAAGATCGAAACCACATGTTATACGAGGGCCATTCAATAAGTAACGAGACAAATTATTATTGCTCAAAAACGGCTGAATTGATCCATATGAAACTTTTAGGACATAAAGTTAGCAACCTTGCGATGACATCTGATCAGCTGTTAAATCATATTTTTGTAAACATAACCTCAAATTTACTCAGTTAACGATGGCGAGTCCGCTCGAGAATTGCACCGTGGAAGAACAACGTGCCGTGATCAGATTTTTAGTCGCGGAAAGTGAGAAAAGCAGTAAAATCCACGAAAGAATGTTAAAAGTGTACGGAGAAAATTGTTTGAATCGTTCGAACGTTTACAAATGGGTAGAGCAGTTTCAAAGTGGCCGTACAAAAATTTCTGACGAGCAACGCAGTGGACGACCGGTCGAAGTTGGGACTTCCTCTCTCGAATCTCGTATTGATGCGTTAATTCGGGACAATAGGCGTATCACTGTTAAAATGATAAGTGAAAAAGTAAGTGCGAGTGTTGGAACTGTCCATAACTTTATTCACAACAAGCTGCAGTACAAGAAAACCTGTGCGAGATGGGTGCCCAGACAACTGACGGACGCTCACAAAGAAAAACTCAGAAACTGCGGTGGGAGATCCTTCCACATCCCCCCTACAGCCCCGACCTCGCCCCATCAGATTTCCATTTGTTTGGACCCCTTAAAGAGGGTCTACGAGGGAAACATTTTCAGTCCAACGAAGAGGTCAAAAATCAGGTGCGAAATTGGCTTCGAGATCAACCCAAAGAATTTTATGCCAAGGGCATTTACAAATTAGCAGAAAAATGGGACAAGTGTATAAGTGTTGCTGGGGACTATGTTGAAAAGTAACCAAAGTTTTGTACTGATTGAATAAATCATTTTTGAGCAATAATAATTTGTCTCGTTACTTATTGAATGGCCCTCGTACAATTCAAATGCAATATTAACGAAGATACAGAGTTCGATTCTATCAATATTAAAAAATCCCAAGTAGATGGACCATTAGTTCTAAAAAATATAGACCAACCTTTGTTTTATCCTACTACCTGTTATGTCCTACGGGTAAAACTGTGACAAAAAAAAAAGAGAAAAAACATGATGGATTTATTGAAATATATTTCTCTCATTAAACACGATTATTATAAAAATTTAAGAACAAATCAAGGTGACAGTACTTTCAATGTATCTGACGAATAATAGTAGAATCTAATGACAATAATAATAAAAATAGAACAGCTATATTGATTTTTTATTTAAAGTTCTATAATAAATAATGTTATGATAAATTTTCTTATAATATATAATTTTATGATGGTTAAATTCAATGGTATTTATTTTTTCTGTAATTTCAAGATTTTCAATTGCCAAATCGATTAACTTCCCAAGTTCATGCAAAATTTCTAAATACATGAACAATTATTCATATATATTTTTATGTATTTTTTACATTATAACATAAAAGCTGCATGTTTAATAATACATTCTATAATATTTGTTTGTGTATATATTTCAAACGAAATTTTAAGAAACAATGTTTATATAAGTTCATCAATTTTCTTTACTTTTTGTTTGATGGAGTTTGCCAGTTTGGCTTCTGAGCGGCTCAAGTAATATAATACTTTATATTTTATATTTAAATTAAAAATTTAATTGGTTAAAAAGAATTAAATTACGAATTGAATCTAATTAAATATAGCATTGTTTAAAAAAATAAAATTAAAAAAATTTGTTAAAAAGAAATTTAAAGAGAAATTTAATACATATTTATAGACATTAGCATAAAGAAAAAAAAATGCAAATATACGCATAACACTTTCGTTAATTTGTTAAAAAATTCATTAGAATGCGTTCTTGTGTCAAAACATCATCTAAATTATTATATATAATCGTATTTACTTTTTTTATCAAAAAATTACATAATTATGTTAATTGTGAAAAATAAAATTTTATATTTTAAATAGATATTTTAATCAATTATTCGAAATTTATCTTTGATTTTATTGATTAAACTTTATTTTTTAAATGTATACTTTTTTGATAATTTTTCTTTAATCTGTCTTTATTACAATAATCTTGCAATAGCTAACAATTATTCCGTTATTGATAAAGATCACTTACTTTGAAAGTCTTGTAGCTGGACACTACGTAAGAGGCACCGTCCTCAAGCTCGTCGAGGCTGATCTTTCGGTCACCGTCCATTGAGAAAATATGGCGCGCGCCTCTTGGTAAATCCAATCGAAGAGACAATCTATCCAATAGGGCTTCCAGAGAACCAATGTCGCGTCCAGGTTTGAATCTAAATATTAAAGAATTTTTTACACTAATGCCGAATAATTTTAAAAGATATCTTTGAAAATTTTTTGAATAAATTTAATTAGATTTTTTGTCTTATTTTATATTATTTTTATATTATATTTTATATTTTTATATTGCTATTTATATTATAAATATTTATTTTATTTATGTTCATAGTTTTTATTATATAGGATGTGCGGGAACTGATGGTACAAGCAGGAAGGAGGTGACTCTACATGAAAAAATAAGTCAAAAATGTAAAATAAAAATTTTTTATACAAGGCTTTGTTTTTCAATAAAAATAACTTTGAATATTTGTCAGGTACGCATGCACTTAACTATGTCTGATCTCAACGGAGCTCACTATACATTATCTCTGCATGCACTTATATCTGTGAACACTGTTAATAATAATGATAAGATTCCTTACGTACGAATTCCTAGTAGCTTACTTTTGTCGACAATAACTTAGTTTCTATCATTCTATCAATATGGCTATATATATCAATCTCAATATCAAAAGAACACAGACATGTTTTGTGTGCTAGGTGTGTGTAGCGGTAACGCTTTCGCTGCAGCTAATTACTATTGAATCCGATGTTCTAATCGTCGACATCCGAATAGGCGGGTTATTCAAAGAGTAGAACAAATGATCGCTCTACGAAAAAGTAAACACATCTTGTCTTATTATTTGTCCCCAAAGTACACCCTTTCGATATTAGTAATGTTTGAAAACACAAATATTGAAGTTGTTTTTTTGGAAAACAAAGCCTTGTATAAAAAATTTTTACTCTATATTTTCAACTTATGTTTTTACGTAGAATTTTTCACTCTCTTCCCGTTTGTGCCACCAGTTTCCGGACATCCTGTATATAATATACAGCTGTATATATTAAATATATATTAAAACAAAGAACTAAGGTAAACTAGAATAAATCTTCAAAAAATGCAATGATATATTTTTGATATAAACGTTACAAAGTCTCATTTAATAAAAATAATTAAATAATAAGCTTATATAAAACAAACACAAATGTTCAAACTTTGGAAATTTCTATTTTGTGAACTTTATCATTTCCGGCATAAACTTAAGGAGATCCTGGAGTCGTCTGTAAAAATGTCAATCTTCTAATATATGTGACTCTTTTATTGTTTGTATAAAATTACAAATTATTTTCAGGAATTAGAAAAAATTTTGAAATTTGCAAAAATAAAGGGGGAGAAAAGGGTACATAAAAAAATATAATATTTAAAAAATTCATAAATGCACAATTGTAAAGAGCATTAAATACCGTACAACTTACTACTAGTACTACTAGTTTTCACGATATTCTCTCAAAATCAAATATACCGTGTCAGTTTGTAGGGATTGTTTCAACCCCTAAAAAAACATATAAAAAAATACATAAAAAAGTATCTTTATTTTTAGCTACTCTACAACATATTCAAAGTTTGTCAAAGAGAGACACTTGTATGTCTTTCCTTGTGAGTAAAAATTACTACATAAATCAAGAAACAAATGTATAATGTTTATTATGTCACGTTTACATTCATATCATCCATCAATTTTAGTTACTGATATTATCTTGTAATTGATATTGCATAATCGAAATAAACGATCAAAACGTTTCAATACCTCGAATTTACATTGATTGACTTTTTTACGTTTGAACATTTACATTTATCTTATACAAGCCTTATTAACATTTTTTTTGTTTCCGGCAATTAGAATGTTGCTTTTAATATCTTCGAAGTTAACCTCAAAACTCCAGAGCTTTACAATAAGAACATTGCTAATAGCAATATTTTTAGTTTAAGTAAAAATACATATATCTTTTTGATAAAAACTATTTTTCTTGTGTCTTGAACAATTTAAATACTTACTAAGAAGAATCTTAATCATGACATTTAAAAACAAAAAGCTAATAAAATATATTATTATTGATTATAAACTGAAGAATTTTATAATATTTTTAATTTTACAAAAGATAAGAAAGAGAATGATCTCACAAATAAATTTCATTTAACAATAAAACTCATTAAAAGTTGTATAGCACATTAAAACAATATGATTCTTTAAAATTATCACTACTCTTTTACGAAATATTTTTTTGTATTATAAATTTGTAAAAACGTATAAACTTAGGAAAAATTTTCAATATTTTTTGATAATTTTTAAATTATCGAAAACATTAAACACAGACATTAAAATGTTAAAAATATTTATATAATATAAATTTTATATTTAAAAAAAATCTCATGTAAAAAAATTAAATAGTTTTATGTAATTTAATATTAGTGAAAACAATTTTACTGCATTTTATACACCACACACATATATTAAAAATAATAAATAATTTAATTCTTTCATTTATATTTTTAAAAACTTAAAAACACTAAAAAGTTATATAATAATCATTAAGTATTGTTCGTACTTTGAAATAATATTGAAATAATAAAAGTATCTTTTGCATATATATTATATTATATATATATATATATATATATATCAAAGTAAAGTATACACGACATATAGTAATAGAATATTCTTTAAAAGAATTGATTGTATATTTTATTGTATGTTCTGTTTATATCAGATTAAAAAAAAATTATATTTATAAGCCTAATATACATATATATATTTATATGCATATATATATATATATATATTTATATATTTACATATATAATTGTATAACAAATCTGCAAATAAATTAATCTATTTCTTTTTCAACTATGACTAGCTTGGACTAGAATGATATTGCTTCGATTCTAACACTTACCTGAACTCGATGCCAGGAAAGTAGGGATCGCCATTTTTGTAAAAAGTGACCCTTCTCGCTCGCCAGTAGCCTAGATTGTTATATCTTGCGCCTTGTGGCTCGTGCCGGCTCTTGGGTCGGCTCGACTGTTCCGACTGCTCCGGAGGCGGCATGCTGAGTCGGAGACA